CCCACCCACCCCTCCCCCTCTTTGTGTTCCCGTTATCTGCAACGAGCTTCACTTCGGCGGCTTCGCCCGGGACTTGGATTCTCATCTTGGACTAATACACCGACGCGGAGGGTGGGAGGGGGAGGGGTGCGTGACGTCAGCAGGCACACCGCGTGACGCTGCCGCATGCGGGTGACATCACAGATGTGACGTCACCGCTCACTTGCTGTGCAAAATATGTCCAGTCGGTCGTTTGAGGCTGAGTTGACCTAGGGGAGGTCCAGAACCGGTTCAAATAATCGTCACCGGTGGTAGCCGCGAGCGGGAATCGAACTCGGGTCGCCGGGTTCGTAGCGTGGCACTAACCACGACACAGATGTGACGTCACCGCTCACTTGCCGTGCAAAATAAATGCATTATTGCGCCCCCATCCCCTCAAAAAAACACAAGTGTATTTTTATAATGTTTTCATGGTGTACAGTCTGGAAAGTACCCACATGGCAAATTTCCAGTTTGTTGCATGTCGGGAAGTACGCTAAACATTTTGAACAGACTTTTCCCTTTTATATATATAGTGATGATGATGAATGAGCACGGTAACCAACGTTGATGTCGCCAAAATTAAACCCGCAGTGTGGCGCGCGGTGAAATGAAGCGTGGCGGTGGTGAGAGGTGGTGGTGGTGAGAGGTGGTGGTGGTGAGAGGTGGTGGTGGCGGTGAGGTGGTGGTGAGAGGTGGTGGTGGTGAGAGGTGGTGGTGGCGGTGAGGTGGTGGTGAGAGGTGGTGGTGGTGAGAGGTGGTGGTGGTGAGAGGTGGTGGTGGTGAGAGGTGGTGGTGGCGGTGAGGTGGTGGTGAGAGGTGGTGGTGGTGAGAGGTGGTGGTGGTGAGAGGTGGTGGTGGCGGTGAGGTGGTGGTGGCAGCGGTGGCGGTGGCGACGGCGGCGGCGGTGGCGGTGGTGGTGGTGGTGCTGGTGGTGGTGCTGGTGGTGGTGCTGGTGGTGGTGGTGGTGCTGGTGGTGGTGGTGGTGGTGCTGGTGGTGGTGGTGGTGGTGCTGGTGGTGGTGGTGGTGCTGGTGGTGGTGGTGGTGCTGGTGGTGGTGCTGGTGGTGGTGCTGGTGGTGGTGGTGGTGCTGGTGGTGGTGGTGGTGCTGGTGGTGGTGGTGGTGGTGGTGCTGGTGGTGGTGCTGGTGGTGGTGGTGCTGGTGGTGCTGGTGGTGGTGGTGCTGGTGCTGGTGGTGGTGGTGCTGGTGGTGGTGGTGGTGCTGGTGGTGGTGGTGGTGCTGGTGGTGGTGGTGGTGCTGGTGGTGGTGCTGGTGGTGGTGGTGGTGCTGGTGGTGGTGGTGGTGGTGCTGGTGGTGGTGGTGGTGCGTAACGCGAGGCGCCTGAGCTCCAAGGTGACCCAGCTGGTGTCACCTTTCACAGCCGCCGCGTGTGAGTGGCTCACTCTCACTCGCCCTCTCTTGCTCTCTCTTGCCCTCTCCCAGTCTCTCTAGCTCTCACTCGCTCTCGGTCTCTCTCGGTCTCTCTAGCTCTCACTCGCTCTCGGTCTCTCCCAATCTCAATTGCTCTCGATCTCTCTCGGTCTCTCACTTGCTCTCTCTCTCAGTCTCTCTCTTTTTTTACGATCAGAGGAAACAAGAAGATGCTCGGTGTAGTCGGCACTTTGCTTCGTTCATCATTTCGTCAGTCTTTGTCGGTCTCTCTCACTGTCTCTCAGTCTCTCTCAGTGTCTCTCGTAGTCTCTGTCTCGCTGTGTCTCTCTCTTTTACAATCACTTACCCATTCTCTCACACACACACTCGTTCTCTCACTCGCTCTCGCTCAGTCTCTCGTAGTCTCTCTCTCGCTGTGTCTCTCTCTTTAACAATCACTTACCCATTCTCTCTCACACACACTCGTTCTCTCACTCGCTCTCGCTCAGTCTCTCGTAGTCTCTCTCTCGCTGTGTCTCTCTCTTTAACAATCACTTACCCATTCTCTCTCTCACACACACTCGTTCTCTCTTGCTCCCCCCGCATCTCTCACGCACTCTCGTGTTGTCCCTCTTCTCTCTCGCTCCCTTCCTCTCTTCTTGTCTCACTCGGTGTCGCTCTCTCTCTCCATTTCCTTCTCTTCCTCTTGCTCTCTTGCCCTTTCTTACATTCGTGGCTTTATCACTGATTCCTCGAAAAGGCTGCGCGCCCATAACGGCGGCCCTTATCGTGATGTCGCAGCCGTCCCGCTGGAGGGGAAAACGCTTCCTCCAATTGAGACCATGTTCTCGTATTCTGATAGGATGTACAGAATTAACTTTGTGTGCGTGATGTTGTGAGAAGTTGTGTGTGTGTCAATGTGGGTCAGTGTTTGTTGGTGTGTGTGGGTCTGTGTGGGTCAGTGTTTGTTGGTGTGTGTGTCACCGTGTGTGTGTATGGGTCAGTGTTTGTCTGTGGGTATCTGTGTGTGTGTGGGTCTGTGTGGGTCAGTGTCTGTCTGTGGGTATCTCTGTGTGTGTGTGGGTCAGTGTGGGTCAGTGTTTGTCTGTGGGTATCTGTGTGTGTGTGGGTCTGTGTAGGTCAGTGTTTGTCTGTGGGTATCTGTGTGTGTGTGTCAGTGTGGGTCAGTGTTTGTCTGTGGGTATCTGTGTGTGTGTGGGTCTGTGTAGGTCAGTGTTTGTCTGTGGGTATCTGTGTGTGTGTGTGTGGGTCAGTGTGGGTCAGTGTTTGTTGGTGTGTGTGTGTAGGTCACCGTGGGTGTGTATATGGGTCAGTGTTTGTCTGTGGGTATCTCTGTGTGTGTGTGGGTCTGTGTGGGTCAGTGTTTGTTGGTGTGTGTGTAGGTCACCGTGTGTGTGTGGGGGTCAGATTGGGTCAGTGTCTGTCTGTGGGTATCTGTGTGTGTGTGGGTCTGTGTGGGTCAGTGTTTGTTGGTGTGTGTGTGTGTAGGTCACCGTGTGTGTGGGGGTCAGAGTGGGTCAGTGTTTGTTGGTGTGTGTGTGTGTTACCGTGTGTGTATATGAGTCAGTGTTTGTCTGTCAGTGTCTGTGTGGTGTGTGTTGCGGGCTTGTGATGCTGGAACGGCGTGTTGGTGGCCACGAGTCCACGGGCTGCACAGAAGTGTTGCGGCCTCCTGCCGCTGTCATTGAGCTGACCTGGCCCGTGTCTTCCAGTCACTCCGACCCAGGTGCCTGCGCCGTGACCCACTCGGGCACTAGAGTCACTCACCAGGATGACTCTATCTCGAGGGGCCGCTCTAGCCAGCACCAGGGACGGGAGGTCATAGAAGGCATCCGACTCATCTGCTTTGCCTGCATCCACTGATAATTATTCTGTGGGGACACAAGCCACCACCACCACCATTGACAGGGAGGCGAGCCCACAGCAGCCGGGGACTCGCAGATTCCCACACCTCACCGCCAGAAGATGATGCGCTTCCTCAAAGTGAACCTAGCCTGGCACAGTTGTTGTGGTGACGTCATGACCACTTCGTGTTTTCTGGCTGTGTGTGTGTCTGGGGAGCGGTGGTGTAACGGTTATCGCACTGCGCTACAAACCACCTGGTGACCCGACTTCGGCTCCTGCTCGTGACCAACACCAATGGCGAAATATTGGAACTCGTCCCGGGCCTCCCCTAGGTCGACTCAGCCTTCACGAGTACCTGGTGCAGTGTGTGACCATCGGCACTGGGGAGACAAAGGTGGGGGGGGGGCACCCACCTCCCCCCATGTGCCATGCCGGCCTTCGTCGTTGCTTGGTAACAGCACAGTCCGTTGAAGGCTGTACGGGGGATCTTTGTGTCTGTGTATGTGGCATTTGTGGGGAGCGGTGGTGCAGCGGTTAGCGATTAGCACGCTGCGCTACGAACCCGGCGACCCGAGTTCGATTCCCGCTCACTGCCACCAACACCAGCGGCGATTATCAGAGCCGGTCCAGAGCCTCCCCTAGGTCTCCTCAGCCTCAAATGAATAACCTGGTGCGGTGTGTAAAAACATCGGCACTGGGGAGACAAAGGTGACCGGGCGTGGTGTTGGCCACTCAACCCCGCGTGTGCCACAGTGCCGGTCTTCATTAGTGCTGCTACTCGCTCACAGCCCTTGCCCCAACAGTCTGTTGAGGCTACGCGGGGGATCTTTGTGTGTGTTTGCTTCCGCGTCTCTGTGTTTGTGAGTGTCTGTGGTCAGATGCATTAATGGACAGCCGACGACGATGATGATGATGGCCGACGATGATGATGATAGGGGCGGTGATGATGATGATGTTGGCCGACGATGATGATGATAGGGGTGGTGATGACGATGATGATAGGGGCGGTGATGATGATGATGTTGGCCGACGATGATGATGATAAGGGCGGTGATGATGATAGGGGCGGTGACGCGACTGCCCAGCTGTAGCATGTTCGCCGCTCGTTACAGAGGTGCTCGGTTCGAATTTGGCAGTCCGCCCCTGGTTAATACTGCGGTTGCGTGCGCACCAACCGTCAACAATTCGCGCCACCTGCTTCACAGTGGCGTCACTCGGAACGAGCAGCCGGACCATTCCGCCGCATGTGCCGGCATCGCCGTCCGCCAAATTTGCCAAATTGTTTCCGAATTCGTCACTTGGGGACCGCACGCATACACACGCAGCCGGCGATCATTGGCGCCTCCCTCCGCGGTGACCGCCCCGCGCCTCCGTGAGAACGATGGCGCCCAGGCCAAGCCCCGATCTCGTCGACCATCTTCGCGAAAACTCGCGGTCAACCTCGCGGCGACAGTGGCGGCGGCTTTTGGCATCGCGCGTAGTCACCGCATCGGCATCGCGCGGCGCTTTCAGATGCGCTTCTGCGGCTGTCTGGAAGGCTCTCTCCTCCCGATATTGAAAAGTGGTTTCTTTAGAACTGCTGTGTTCATTTTTTTGGCCTTCTCCCGCACCTGCGATTAGCGACGGTTCCGCTCCGTACAGAGCGAAAGAAGTTCGACAGAATCAGTCTTCGTGATGGAGGAATCCGTTACAACAACAATCACGAGTCGACGATGATTCGTGTCTTTTGTTATTTTTGTTGCAGGATTCGGGCAGCATGGACTTCAGCCCCAAAGAGTCGCCCCTCTACGTGAGTACCCCAGACAGCGACCGCCGGTCCTCGCGCGTGCCGAGTGGCGGCAATGGTGCCTCTACACCAGGCATGTCCAAAGTCCGACCCGCGGGCCAATCACGGCCCGCGGTCAGATTTCATACGGCCTGCAGCTTTGGTCTTATAATGTGTTATTTATGGCTCGCCAGCTCTGTCAGAATACATACATCATAAAACTTTAAAGATGTAATTCCTCCTTCCGCCACACGGTGGCAGCACCATTCTAATGCTCTCTGGCTCTGCATCCGTGCCGCGAACCCTTCTCGAGTCATTTCTGCCGTGGCGACTGCAAAAAAAAAGAGAAAAGTTGACAGTGAGGGCCGCCGCTTTCAGGTGCGGTGGGAATTACAATACTTCTCCACTCGCTGCTCTCCACCACCGCGCTGTCATCATCATCATCATCATCACCACCACCGTGGGCTCTCCACTGCTGGATGAAGCTCAGTGCCATGCCACGGACCTGCCGTGTGTTCTCCAATCACGTGGGCCCGTCTCTCCGTGTGATCCCACGCGTACCCCCTTGCAACACCTTTTCGCCCACTTCTAAGTTTTCGTTTCGTGTTCATGACCTTCTCCCTTCCCGTGGACTACGTCGGGACCCCCCTGGTCGCACCCCAACGCGCGCACGCACACACGGACAACAGAGGCAAAGTTCCCCCATGTAGCCTCGACGGACTGTGAGGGCAAGTGCTGTTAGCGAGTAGCGCCTATGAAGGGCGGCACTCCGCACGAGGCGGTGGGTGGCCAGCACCACGCCCTGCCGCCTTTGTCTCCCCTGTCGCGATGTTCATTACGCACCGCACCGCGTACTCGTTTGAGGCCGAGTCGACCTAGGGGAGGCCCAGGACCAGTTCAGACGATCGCCACCGGAGTCGGCGAGCCTCGAGCGGGAAGGGAAGCGGGGCCACCAGGTTCGTAGCGCCGACCGCTCCCCACGACACCACCACACGCGCGACGGGACGCCACGCACGGCTCGCTCCGTGCGCGCGCCCGCACCGTGGGCGTCGCGAGCGGTCGTCTTGACGGGGCGGTGGCCGCTCCGTGTGCCCGTTGCCCGCAGGGCGGCGCGCGGGTCCTCGTGACGTGCGCCGAGGGGACGCTGCCGCCGGGCGACGCCGACTTCTTCCTGGTGTTCGACGGCACGGCCAGCCGCCACGTGGCGCCCGCCACTCGCCTCAACGGCTGCACGCTGCAGGGGTTCACACCAGGTAGCACGCAACACGCACGTACAACACGCGCACAGCACGCGTACAACACGCGTACAACACGCGTACAACACGCGTACAGCACGCGTACAACACGCGTACAACACGCTTACAACACGCGTACAACACGCGTACAGCACGCGTACAACATGCGTACAACACGCGTACAACACGCGTACAGCACGCGTACAGCACGCGTACAGCACGCGTACAACACGCTTACAACACGCGTACAGCACGCGTACAACACGCTTACAACATGCGTACAACACGCTTACAACACGCGTACAACATGCGTACAACACACGTACAACACGCTTACAACACGCGTACAACACGCGCACAACACGCGCACAACACGCGTACAACATGTGTACAACACGCTTACAACACGCGCACAACACGCGCACAACACGCGTACAACACGCTTACAACACGCTTACAACACGCGTACAACACGCGCACAACATGCGTACAACACGCGCACAACACGCGCACAACACGCGTACAACACGCGTACAACACGCTTACAACACGCGTACAACACGCGCACAACACGCGTACAACACGCTTACAACACGCGTACAACACGCGTACAACACGCTTACAACACGCGCACAACACGCGCACAACACGCGTACAACACGCTTACAACACGCGTACAACACGCGTACAACACGCGCACAACACGCGCACAACACGCGTACTACACGCGTACAACACGCTTACAACACGCGTACAACACGCTTACAACACGCGTACAACACGCTTACAACACGCGCACAACACGCGTACAACACGCTTACAACACGCGCACAACACGCGTACAACACGCGTACAACACGCTTACAACACGCGCACAGCACGCGTACAACACGCGTACTACATGCGTACAACACGCTTACAACACGCGTACAACACGCGTACTACACGCGCACAACACGCGTACAACACGCGTACAACACGCGTACTACATGCGTACAACACGCTTACAACACGCGCACAACACGCGCACAACACGCGTACAACACGCTTACAACACGCGTACAACATGCGTACAACACGCGCACAACACGCGCACAACACGCGTACTACACGCGTACAACACGCTTACAACACGCGTACAACACGCTTACAACACGCGTACAACACGCTTACAACACGCGCACAACACGCGCACAACACGCTTACAACACGCGCACAACACGCGTACAACACGCGTACAACACGCGCACAGCACGCGTACAACACGCGTACTACATGCGTACAACACGCTTACAACACGCGTACAACACGCGTACTACACGCGCACAACACGCGTACAACACGCGTACAACACGCGTACTACATGCGTACAACACGCTTACAACACGCGTACAACACGCGTACAACACGCGCACAACACGCGTACAACACGCGTACTACACGCGTACAACACGCTTACTACACGCGCACAACACGCGTACAACACGCGTACAGCACGCTTACAACACGCGCACAGCATGCGTACAACACGCGCACAACACGCTTACAACACGCGCACAACACGCGTACAACACGCGTACAGTACGCTTACAACACGCGCACAACACGCGTACAACACGCGTACAGCACGCTTACAACACGCGCACAACACGCGTACAACACGCGCACAACACGCTTACAACACGCGCACAACACGCGTACAACACGCGTACAGCACGCTTACAACACGCGCACAACACGCGTACAGCACGCTTACAGCACGCTTACAACACGCGTACAACACGCGCACAGCACGCGTACAACACGCGCACAACACGCGCACAACACGCTTACTACACGCGCACAACACGCGTACAACACGCGTACAGCACGCTTACAACACGCGCACAACACGCGTACAACACGCGTACAACACGCGCACAACACGCGTACAACACGCGCACAACACACGCACAACACGCGTACAACACGCGCACAACACGCGTACAATACGCGTACAATACGCGTACAACACGCGTACTACACGCGTACAACTCGCGTACAATACGCGTACAACACGCGTACTACATGCGTACAGCACGCGTACAGCACGCGTACAGCACGTGCACAACACGCGTACTACATGCGTACAACACGCGTACAACACACGTACTACATGCGTACAACTCGCGTACAATACGCGTACTACATGCGTACAACACGCGTACAACACACGTACTACATGCGTACAATACGCGTACAACACGCGTACTACATGCGTACAACACGCATACAGCACGCGTACTACATGCGTACAACACGCGTACAACACGCGTACAACACGCGTACAGCATGCGTACAACACGCGTACTACATGCGTACAACACGCGTACTACACGCGCACTACATGCGTACAACACGCACGCACACACGACGACGGCCATTCGCCCCTAAGACGTCACCACGGCGCCTGTGCCAGGCCATGTGCACCTTGAGGCCACGGGAAGTGTCGAAGGCTCGCTGACGGGGTCACGGGACAGTCCCAGGTGCCGTGGGTTGACTGATCGAGATGACCGGGAGATCCACACCAACTGCAAACTTTTTTTATTTTACCCGCCTGGCGTTTCGCATGTTGTTGTGAGCGTCGCTCCTCTGCCCTCTGTTGTTGTTCTAGGGCAACTGCCTCCAACTGCCCAGTAGTGTGTCCTTCATACACTCACACACTCTCATGCACACACACTCACACACTCTCACACACTCTCACACACACTAACACACACTAACGCACACACGAACACACACTCTCACACACACAAACGCACACACTAACACACACTAACGCACACACGAACACACACGAACACACACACAAACGCACACACTAACACAGACACTCATACACAATGCGCTTGCTGGCTTTGGCGGCGGTCTGTGCTCCTAGCGTGGGAAGCGAGCCACGCGGTAATTCAGGCGAGCCACGCGCCGGCTGGCCACGCCGGCACGAGGAAGGAAACGCCGGCTTCCTCGATGATCTCCGTTACGGCGCTGCAGGTCAAGTGGCCGTGCCGCCCGGGAAGCCGGAGACGACCAATTACGGAATCGGTGACGACGATGAAAGCACGCAGAGCGAGATGGTTCAGGTTGTCCAGCTCCAGTGGAGACGCAGAGCGAGATGGTTCCGGTTGTCTAGCTCCAGTTGAGACACAGAGTGAGATGGTTCAGGTTACACAGCTCCAGTTGAGACACAGAGTGAGATGGTTCAGGTTGTCCAGCTCCAGTGGAGACGCAGAGCGAGATGGTTCCGGTTGTCTAGCTCCAGTTGAGACACAGAGTGAGATGGTTCAGGTTACACAGCTCCAGTTGAGACACAGAGTGAGATGGTTCAGGTTGTCCAGCTCCAGTGGAGACACAGAGTGAGATGGTTCAGGTTGTCCAGCTCCAGTTGAGACACAGAGTGAGGTGGTTCAGGTCACACAGCTCCAGTGGAGACACAGAGTGAGATGGTTCAGGTTACACAGCTCCAGTTGAGACACAGAGTGAGATGGTTCAGGTTACACAGCTCCAGTGGAGACACAGAGTGAGATGGTTCAGGTTACACAGCTCCAGTGGAGACACAGAGTGAGATGGTTCAGGTTGTCCAGCTCCAGTGGAGACGCAGAGTGAGATGGTTCAGGTTACACAGCTCCAGTTGAGACACAGAGTGAGATGGTTCAGGTTACACAGCTCCAGTGGAGACACAGAGTGAGATGGTTCAGGTTACACAGCTCCAGTGGAGACACAGAGTGAGATGGTTCAGGTTACACAGCTCCAGTGGAGACACAGAGTGAGATGGTTCAGGTTCACCAGCTCCAGTGGAGACACAGAGTGAGGTGGTTCAGGTTACACAGCTCCAGTGGAGACACAGAGTGAGATGGTTCAGGTCACACAGCTCCAGTGGAGACACAGAGTGAGATGGTTCAGGTTCACCAGCTCCAGTGGAGACACAGAGTGAGGTGGTTCAGGTTACACAGCTCCAGTGGAGACACAGAGTGAGATGGTTCAGGTTACACAGCTCCAGTGGAGACACAGAGTGAGATGGTTCAGGTTCCACAGCTCCAGTGGAGACACAGAGTGAGATGGTTCAGCTTACACAGCTCCAGTGGAGACACAGAGTGAGATGGTTCAGGTTCACCAGCTCCAGTGGAGACACAGAGTGAGGTGGTTCAGGTTACACAGCTCCAGTGGAGACGCAGAGTGAGATGGTTCAGGTCACACAGCTCCAGTGGAGACACAGAGTGAGATGGTTCAGGTCACCAGCTCCAGTGGAGACACAGAGTGAGATGGTTCAGGTTCACAGCTCCAGTGGAGACACAGAGTGAGATGGTTCAGGTTACACAGCTCCAGTGGAGACACAGAGTGAGATGGTTCAGGTTACACAGCTCCAGTTGAGACACAGAGTGAGATGGTTCAGGTTGTCCAGCTCCAGTGCAGACACAGAGTGAGATGGTTCAGGTTACACAGCTCCAGTGGAGACACAGAGTGAGATGGTTCAGGTTCACCAGCTCCAGTGGAGACACAGAGTGAGATGGTTCAGGTTGTCCAGCTCCAGTGGAGACACAGAGTGAGATGGTTCAGGTCACACAGCTCCAGTGGAGACACAGAGTGAGATGGTTCAGGTCACACAGCTCCAGTGGAGACACATAGTGAGATGGTTCAGGTTCCACAGCTCCAGTGGAGACACAGAGTGAGATGGTTCAGGTCACCAGCTCCAGTGGAGACACAGAGTGAGGTGGTTCAGGTTACACAGCTCCAGTGGAGACACAGAGTGAGATGGTTCAGGTTACACAGCTCCAGTGGAGACACAGAGTGAGATGGTTCAGGTTGTCCAGCTCCAGTGGAGACACAGAGTGAGATGGTTCAGGTTACACAGCTCCAGTGGAGACACAGAGTGAGATGGTTCAGGTTACACAGCTCCAGTGGAGACGCAGAGTGAGATGGTTCAGGTTACACAGCTCCAGTGGAGACACAGAGTGAGATGGTTCAGGTTACACAGCTCCAGTGGAGACACAGAGTGAGATGGTTCAGGTTCACAGCTCCAGTGGAGACACAGAGTGAGATGGTTCAGGTTACACAGCTCCAGTGGAGACGCAGAGCGAGATGGTTCAGGTTACACAGCTCCAGTGGAGACACAGAGTGAGATGGTTCAGGTTACACAGCTCCAGTGGAGACACAGAGTGAGATGGTTCAGGTTACACAGCTCCAGTGGAGACACAGAGTGAGATGGTTCAGGTTCACAGCTCCAGTGGAGACACAGAGTGAGATGGTTCAGGTTACACAGCTCCAGTGGAGACACAGAGTGAGATGGTTCAGGTTACACAGCTCCAGTGGAGACGCAGAGTGAGATGGTTCAGGTTACACAGCTCCAGTGGAGACACAGAGTGAGATGGTTCAGGTTACACAGCTCCAGTGGAGACACAGAGTGAGATGGTTCAGGTTACACAGCTCCAGTGGAGACACAGAGTGAGATGGTTCAGGTTCACAGCTCCAGTGGAGACGCAGAGCGAGATGGTTTTCACGGCGTCGCGAGAGAGTGGCAGCTCTGGGCATCCCCGCTAGAGGGTCATGTGGCCTACTCTTCCGCGTTGGCCAGAAGTTTTAGGAGCGTTAGTTCACTCTATCTGTGTGTGTGTGTCGAGAAACCCAGAGCCTGGGACGGAGCCTGAACTCCACATGAGGTTATGGACCAGACTGAGATGTTGACTGAAATCAAATAAAAACCGTGACCGGGTCTCACGGCGGCCTGCACTGCACCTCCGATTGGCACGGTTGGCTACGTACGGTGCGAAAGAAGTTCAACATTTAGTGCGTACTGCCCATAGACTAACACTGCCCATAGACTAACACTGCCCATAGACTAACACTGCCCATAGACTAACAACTACCCATAGACTCAACACTGCCCATAGACTAACAACTACCCATAGACTCAACACTGCCATAGACTAACAACTACCCATAGACTCAACACTGCCCATAGACTAACAACTACCCATAGACTCACACTGCCCATAGACTAACAACTACCCATAGACTCAACACTGCCCATAGACTAACAACTACCCATAGACTCAACACTGCCCATAGACTACACTACCCATAGACTCACACTGCCCATAGACTAACACTGCCCATAGACTAACACTGCCCATAGACTACACTACCCATAGACTCAACACTGCCCATAGACTAACAACTACCCATAGACTCAACACTACCCATAGACTAACAACTACCCATAGACTCAACACTGCCCATAGACTAACACTGCCCATAGACTAACAACTACCCATAGACTCAACACTGCCCATAGACTAACAACTACCCATAGACTAACAACTACCCATAGACTCAACACTGCCCATAGACTAACAACTACCCATAGACTAACAACTACCCATAGACTCAACACTACCATAGACTAACAACTACCCATAGACTAACAACTACCTATAGACTCAACACTGCCCATAGACTAACAACTACCCATTGACTAACAACTACCCATAGACTAACAACTACCCATAGACTCAACACTACCCATAGACTAACAACTACCCATAGACTAACAACTACCCATAGACTCAACACTGCCCATAGACTAACAACTACCCATAGACTCAACACTGCCCATAGACTGTCACTGCCCACAGACTCAACACTGCCCATAGACTCAACACTACCCATAGACTCAACACTACCCATAGACTCAACACTACCCATAGACTCAACACTGCCCACAGACTCAACACTGCCCATAGACTCAACACTACCCATAGACTCAACACTACCCATAGATAATAATTGTTTTGTACCCTTCTATCTGGCAACAACACTGACACCTTTTTTTACAAGGAGTCATGTTTGCATAGACCACAATACCTGCAGTCATAATGCAAACAAAGGCCGCAGGTGGCGCCCCTCCCCGTGCGGCCTCCTCGCCAGCCCACGCCCCCCGCCTGCGTGCCCCCCGCCTGCGTGCCCCCCGCCTGCGTGCCCCCCGCCTGCGTGCCCCCCGTTTCTATTCCGGCTGATCTACCTGTGCCTCTGTTTCTTACTTTGTTGGCGGTGTCAGGGTGAGCGCCCCGGACTGCGAACCCGGCGACCCGAGTCCCGATTCCCGTTCACGGCCAACACTGGTGACAATTATTTGAACTGTTCCTGGCCTCGCCCCTAGGTCGACTCGGCCTCAAATGAGTAGCTGGTACGGTGTGTAAACATCGCCACTGGGGAGACAAAGGCGGCCGGGGGTCGTGCTGCAAACCCACCCCCTCGTGTGCCGTGCCGGCCTTCATAGGTGCTCGCTAACAGCACTTGCCCCAGCGGCCCGTGAACCCTGTACGGGGGATCTTTGTCTCTGTCTTTCTCTGCCTGTCTGCCTGTCTCTCTCTCTCTGTATCTCCGTCTCTGTGCGTGTCTCCGTTTGTCTCTCTGCGTGTCTCTGTTTGTCTCTCTGCGTGTCTCTGTTTGTCTCTCTGCGTGTCTCCGTTTGTCTCTCTGCGTGTCTCTGCCTGCCTCTCTCTGCGTGTCTCTGTTGTCTCTGTGCGTGTCTCCGTTTGTCTCTCTGCGTGTCTCTGCCTGCCTCTCTCTGCGTGTCTCTGTTTGTCTCTGTGCGTGTCTCCGTTTGTCTCTCTGCGTGTCTCTGTTTGTCCCTCTGCCTGCCCGTCTCCGTACCTCGCTGCCTCGGTCTCTCTGCCTGCGAGGGATCGCCGCGCGCAGCAACCGGCAGACCGGCGCCCGCTCACCTTGTTCCCTGCAGGGACACCTGCCGCTGGGGTTACCCCCGCAGGCTCCACAGCAGAGCTATCGTTGCCTCCTAGCGGCTGACTGCCGCACAGGGACAGCTGTCACCGGGGGTGCCCTTTCAACCGCATTGGGATGCGGATGCCGGTCGCTCCCCGTCATCGCCTTCAAAGTTTACCGTCGCCGTGCCCCGTCACCGTCCTCACCGTGGTGCCGGGCCCTGGCGGCCCGCGTTGCCGCCCGCAGGCCACGACCGCTGCGAGTACGTGGGCCTCTCCCTGTGGGCGTGGCCGCGAGGCGCCGCCGGCCCCAGCCGACTGACCGGGGCCGGCGCCTCGGGGTGCCCTCAGCCGGCGGCGCCGGCGGCGGCGACGGCGCGCTTCGCGTTTGCGCGCGACCTGGCGTGCGCCGTGGCGGCTCAGCTGGCGCGCTGGCCGGGCGAGCGGCTCGACTCGCCGCTGCTGGCGGGGCTGGACGCGGAGCAGCTGGCGCGCCTCGACCCGGCCGTGGCGGCCGCCCTGCAGCACCTGCGCGCCAGCGGGGAGCTGGCGCTGCCCGACGAGAAGCGGCACGGTGAGGCGGCGGCGGCGGTGGCGGCGGTGGTGAGGGTCGGAGATCGGTGGTGTGGGTCAGTGCAGGATTATTGACGTTTGGGGCGACAGGCAGAGGGGGTGTGTGATGTGTTGATGTGTGTGCGTGTGTGTTGTGCTGTGGGGAGCGGTGGTTTAGTGGTTAGCGCTACGCTGCGTTACGAACCCAGAAGCCCCAGTTCCATTCCTGCTCACGGCCAACACCGGTGATGATTATCTGAACCGTTTCTGTGCCTACCCTAGGTCGACTCAGCCTCAGATGAGAACCTGGTGCGGGCGTTGTGCTGGCTACTCACCCCCCCTTGTCTGCCATTCCGACCTTCATAGGTGCTTGCCCCTACAGCCTGTTGAGTCCACACGGCGGGGGATCTTTGTGTGTGTTTCTATATGTGTGTGTGTTTGTGTGTGTCTGTGTTTCTATGTGTGTGTGTGTGTCTGTGCGGGCAGCGCTGCTGGCCACCGCGCGCCGCCTCTCCCTGCCGTGCGTGCTCTCCTGCCTGCGCGCCGCCTTCCCAGCCGCCACCCTCGCCGGGGACACGGCGGGGGGTCGCGACCCCAACGGGGACGCCGCCGGCGAACGCCCCCCCGGCGCTGCCGAGCGGTGAGCGGCAATCGTCACCGGTGACAAACCGCCGGGGTAGATTCCCGGCGGCAGGGCGTGGGCGAGCCGTGTGCGTCCGGCTTGTGCCGGGACACCTTTCCCCCCTCGACAAACCCGTTAGCGAGCGGCACGGTGACGCTCGCTCAAGCGAGCGCCATCGCGAACCCGCGCACGCCGTGGGGGAGACTCTGATCCATCCGGCGTGTTGGGGGGGAGGGGGTGGGGGGGCGCTGTGGGGGTCAGGGGTGGCGGTGAAGGGGTCATCGTCGCCGGACGGAATTGACAAGGGCTGGGGGGGGGGCGTAGTGGTGGTAGTAATGACAGTGGTGGTGATGGTGGTGGTGTTGGTGGCGGTGTTGATGATGGTGGTGGTGTTGGTGGTGATGATGGTGGTGGTCGACGATGATGATGGTGGTGGTGGTGATGATCGTGTTGACGATGATATGATGGTGATGATGATGGTGGTGGTAGTGGCGACGATGATGATGATGACGGTGGTGATGGTGACGATGATGGGTCGTGGTGGTGACGACGACGACGATGATGGTGGTGGTGGTGACGATGATGGTAGTGGTGATGGTGGTGACGATGATGGTGGTGGTGACGATGATGGTGTTGGTGACGATGATGATGATGGTGGTGATGACGATGATGATGATGGTGATGATGATGATGGTGATGATGATGGTGATGATGGTGGTGGTGGTGGTAACGATGATGGTGGTGGTGACGATGATGATGATGGTGGTGACGACGATGATGATGATGGTGATGATGATGATGGTGATGATGATGGTGATGATGGTGGTGGTGGTGACGATGATGGTGGTGGTGACGATGATGGTGGTGGTGACGACGATGATGATGATGGTGATGATGATGGTGATGGTGGTGGTGACAATGATGGTAGTGGTGGCGGTGACGATGATGATGGTGGTGACGACGATGACGATGATGATGGCGGTAGTGGTGGTGATGTCATCTCACGCACAGACAGACGTGCACTTTGTCTGTGCGAGTGTGCGGGGGTTGATGGAACGCGGAGGAGACGTGCGGGTACAGCGATTCCTTTTGTTACCGCAATGTGGCAGGGCAGCAGAGGGGGGGGGGGGCAGGGTGGTGTCCGATGGTCGGGGCTGGGCGGGGGCAGTGACCTCCCGCCCTACCAACCCCCCAGAATTCCTGCGCGCGTTGTCCAGGGTTTCCGATTGCTTCCCGGTCACACACGGAGCCGAGTTCGACTCCCGCTCACGGGCACCAACATCTGGGCCTCCCCTAGGTCGACTCGGCCTCAAATGAGTACCAGGTGCGGTGTGCAAACACCGCCACCGGGGAGACAAAGGCGGCCGGGCGTGGTGCAGGCCACCCACCCCCTCGCCTGCCGTGCCGGCCTTCATAAGTGCTCGCTAACAGCACTCGCCCCGACAGTCTGTTTAGCCCTTCCAGTATCCCTGCAAGTCGCCACCCGCCCCACCGTCCTGACATGCTGGGGTCTGTCCACTCGGGGTGTTCACACCCGCCGGCAGTCCCACCGCCCCCACCCCCCCACTCACCCCCCCCACTCACCACCCCCACCCACCCCCACCCACCCCCCCACTCACCCCCCCACTCACCACCCCACTCACCACCCCCACCCACCCCCCCCCAGCTGCGAGGCCGCGTGGGTTCCACGCTCCCAGCATGCCCTGGGAAAGGGCTCCTGGGTGACCTTTCACCCCCACCTGGACGTGGCGATGCTGAGCAGCAGGAAGGGCGGCCGCAGGGGGACCCAGCGAGGGCCCGAGGCCGACATCCGGCGCTTGGCCGACGTGCTGGCACGGCGCACGGCCCAGCAGGTGACAGCACCTCCCACCCCCCCACACCCCCCAGCCCCCACCCCCCCACACCCCCCAGCCCCCACCCCCCCCCGTCGTGGTGCCGCCGCCGGCGGCTGTGGGGTCACTCGCGCCGTCGCCGGGCGCAAATACGGAACGGTGGAGGGGAGACTGTGCGGCCCGGAGCGCTGAGAGCTGGCGTAGTACGAGTGTGGCGGTGGTGGCGGCGGTGGTGGTGGTGGTAGCGGTGTTGGTAGTGGTGGCGGCGGTGGTGGTGGCGGCGGTGGTGGTGGTGGTGCCGGAGGTGGTGGCAGTGTCTTGCGATGGCGGCGGTGGTGGTGGTGGTGGAGGTGGTGGTGGCGGTGGTGGTGGTGGTGGCTCCAGCCCCCACGCTGCTGCTGCTGCTGCTGGTGGTGGTGGTGGTGTTTGGCGCGCGGGGAGTAACGAGTGGCGGCTATCGCCGAGGGATTGACGCTGCCCTCCGCTGGCACCGCGTGTCTCCGCGTCTCGTGTGCCAGCTGATGGAGACGTCTCGGTCTGTGTTTGTCGCCCACATTGTGCCAAATATAGCCGTTCTCCCTCGCGCTCTCCCTCCCTCTCTCACTCCCTCCCTCTCTCGCGCTCTCCCTGTCTCACTCTGCCACCACCGGTGGCTGATGGTGCCGGTAGCACCCGTCGTGGCAGTTGAAACAAAGGGGGCGGGTGAGTGAGTGAGTGGGTGAGCGAGTGAGTGAGTGAGTGGGTGGGTGAGTGAATGAATGGGTGAGCGAGTTAGTGAATGAGTGAACGAGTGAGTGAGTGGGTGAGCGAGTGAGTGGGTGGGTGAGTGAGTGAGTGAGCGGGTGAGCGAGTGAGTGAGCGAGCAGGTGAGTGAGTGGGTGAGCGAATGAGTTGGTGACAAAGATCCCCCCGTGTAGAGTAGCAGCACCGGTGAAGTCCGGCACGGCATACGAGAGGGCGGTGGGTCGTAGCCAGCACCACGCCCGGCGGCCTTTACACACCACACTCATTTGAGACTGAGCCAACCTAGGGGAGGCCCAGGGCCGGTGCAGATAATCGTCACCGGTTTTGTTGGCCGTGAGCGGGAATCAAACTCGGGTCGCCGGGTTCGTACCGCAGCGCACAACCGCTCCCCGGCACCCACCAACACAGACCAACACGCAGAAAAAACACTGACCCACACAGACACACAGACAAACAGTGACCTACACAGACCCACACACACACAGACAAACAATGACCCACATAGACCCACACACACACAGAGAAAACACTGACAACACAGACACCCACAGACCAACACTGACCCACACAGACCCACACACACCCACAGACAAACAGTGACCCACACAGACACCCACACAGACCCACACTGACCCACACAGACCCACACACACAGACAAACAGTGACCCACACACACAGACCCACACACACACACAGATAAAACACTGACAACACAGACACCCACAGACCAACACTGACCCACACAGACCCACACACACAGACCCACACACACAGACCCACACACACATCAGCAACATCGCCCCCTGTTGTGAAAGCCTGGCAGGAACCCCTCCTGGACGAGAGAGGCTCTGGGAGTCTCGTCCGCGGCCGTCCCGGGTAGATGATCTTTAAACGAAACAACAACAAACAACAACAACAAACAAACAACGGTAAATAAGCGACGCACGCACGCACGGAGCGGCTCGTCTCGATGTAGGCGGCCACGCTGATCGGGCACCGCGTTGCCGCACGTTCGGCCCGTCCACGCTACCCCCGCTGGAGGGGAGGGGGGGTGAGCCCCCTGGGGGGGGGGGAGGGTGAGGGGGGGTGTGGGGGGTGGGTCAGGTTTCATTGGGCCGGAGTTCCCAACCGTGCTGGCAGAGCAGCGAGTCTGCAGAACGACGAAGTGAAGTTCACCTAAATAAATAAATAATCAATGGTGAGTCGGCGCTCCACCCCCTTGGCTCCGGTCCCGTCTCTCGGCACAAACAAACACTCAACTTCAATATTGGACGCATCCCATCAGCCGGGCGACCCAGCTGGGGGAGTGCGTCACTTCGGCGGCATTGATCCGGTGCCGGCAAAACTGGTTTCGCCACGCAGCGCCTCATCAGCATTGCTGCCGAGCTGCCAGGTGTCACGGGCAAGGCCCCTCTCTGCGTCAACGACGGCTCCGTCTGCCTGCGTGCGCCAGCGCCTGCGTGCGCCTGTGCCGCTCACCGCCTCGTGCAGCGCCATGTCACCTCGTCTGCCGAACGAGAGTCTTGAGGCTCGTCGCGAGGCTCTCTCTCTGGGCGAACGAGCGGAATGATAAATAAATAAATAGCCATTGCCCGGCCTGCTGGGCGGGCGGGCGAGGAGTGGGAGCGACTGACCCGGTGGGCAGAAGCCGGCGGATTTTGTAAACCCGCGTCATCCGGAAGGTGGTGCCAGAAAGTGGTGGCGGATGGTGGTGCCCAAAAGTGGTGCCGGATGGTGGTGCCGGATGGTGGTGCCGGATGGTGGTGCGGGATGGTGGTGGGGGATGGTGGTGCGGGATGGTGGTGCGGGATGGTGGTGCTGGATGGTGGTGCTGGATGGTGGTGCGGGATGGTGGTGGGGGATGGTGGTGCGGGATGGTGGTGGGGGATGGTGGTGCGGGATGGTGGTGGGGGATGGTGGTGGGGGATGGTGGTGCGGGATGGTGGTGCGGGATGGTGGTGGGGGATGGTGGTGCGGGATGGTGGTGGGGGATGGTGGTGGGGGATGGTGGTGCGGGATGGTGGTGGGGGATGGTGGTGGGGGATGGTGGTGCGGGATGGTGGTGCGGGATGGTGGTGCTGGATGGTGGTGCTGGATGGTGGTGCGGGATGGTGGTGGGGGATGGTGGTGCGGGATGGTGGTGGGGGATGGTGGTGCGGGATGGTGGTGGGGGATGGTGGTGGGGGATGGTGGTGCTGGATGGTGGTGCGGGATGGTGGTGGGGGATGGTGGTGCGGGATGGTGGTGGGGGATGGTGGTGCGGATGGTGGTGGGGGATGGTGGTGGGGGATGGTGGTGCGGGATGGTGGTGCGGGATGGTGGTGCTGGATGGTGGTGCGGGATGGTGGTGGGGGATGGTGGTGCTGGATGGTGGTGCGGGATGGTGGTGGGGGATGGTGGTGCGGGATGGTGGTGGGGGATGGTGTGGGATGGTGGTGGGGGATGGTGGTGCGGGATGGTGGTGCTGGATGGTGGTGCGGGATGGTGGTGGGGGGATGGTGGTGCGGGATGGTGGTGGGGGATGGTGGTGTGGGATGGTGGTGCGGGATGGTGGTGCGGGATGGTGGTTGCGGGATGGTGGTGGGTGGTGCGGGATGGTGGTGCGGGATGGTGCGGGATGGTGGTGCGGGATGGTGGTGCGGGATGGTGCGGGATGGTGGTGCGGGGTGGTGGTGCGGGGTGGTGGTGCGGGATGGTGGTGGGGGATGGTGGTGCGGGATGGTGGTGCGGGATGGTTGTGGGGGATGGTGGTGCGGGGATTGGTGGTGGGGGGATGGTGGTGCTGGATGGTGGTGCGGGATGGTGGTGGGGGATGGTGGGTGTGGGATGGTGGTGGGGGATGGTGGTGCGGGATGGTGGTGGGGGATGGTGGTGCGGGATGGTGGTGGGGGATGGTGGTGGGGATGGTGGTGGCGGGATGGTGGTGCTGGATGGTGGTGCGGGATGGTGGGGGGGATGGTGGTGCGGGATGGTGGGGGGGGATGGGGTGCGGGATGGTGGTGCGGGATGGTGGTGCGGGATGGTGGTGCGGGATGGTGGTGGGTGGTGCGGGATGGTGGTGCGGGATGGTGGTGCGGGATGGTGGTGCGGGATGGTGGTGCGGGATGGTGGTGCGGGATGGTGGTGCGGGGTGGTGGTGCGGGGTGGTGGTGCGGGGTGGTGGTGCGGGATGGTGGTGGGGGATGGTGGTGCGGGATGGTGGTGCGGGATGGTGGTGCGGGATGGTGGTGGGGGAAGGTGGTGGGGGATGGTGGTGCGGGATGGTGGTGGGGGATGGTGGTGGGGGATGGTGGTGGGGGATGGTGGTGCGGGATGGTGGTGCGGGATGGTGGTGCTGGATGGTGGTGCGGGATGGTGGTGCGGGATGGTGGTGCTGGATGGTGGTGCGGGAAGGCGGTGCGTGCGGGTGGGTGGGCGTCAGGCACTCGAAGCCGCGTTGTCGTCGTCGTCGTCGCCGTGCCGTCAGGGAGGGAGCGAGAATCGAGCTCCGCCACTAAAGTGTCTCCCGCGTCGCGCCAAAGCCGCTCAAGTGGGTGAGCCCATCGGGCGACGCGCAGAGTGGGGGGGGGGGCCGGTGGGGGGGCCCCGCCAGCGTCCGTCACCCTCCAACGTTCACCCCAACCCCCCCCCCCCCCCCCCTGTCACTCAGAGCCGCGTGGCCGCTTCCTCGCCGCGGCAGCAGCAACAGCAGGATTTGTGAAGGGCCGTCTTGTGAGCGAGAGGGGGTTGGGGGGTGGGGGGTGGGGGGGAGCTCGGGGGAGAGGGCGGTTGGGTTCGTGTGGGAGGGAGACGAGTTGCGGGGCCGCCACCGCCACCACCACCCGCCACCGCCCCAGCCCAGCTGTTGTGAATGCCTCCATTGAGCAGGAAGCGTCGCGACCGCTACCGCCGCTGCTTAGGCGGAGTGAGCGAGAGAGAGAGAGTGAGGCGGTGAGAGTGTGAACGGGTATAGAGTAAGAGAGTGAGTGAGTGAGAGAGAGAGCGAGTGAGCGAGCGAGTGAGAGAGTGAGCGAGCGAGTGAGTGGGTGGGCGAGTAAGCGAGTGAGAGAGTGAGCGAGCGAGTGAGTGGGTGGCGAGTAAGCGAGTGAGTGAGTGAGAGAGCGAGTGAGTGAGTGAGTGAGAGAGCGAGTGAGTGAGTGAGCGAGTGAGTGAGTGAGCAAGCGAGTGAGCGAGCGAGTAAATAACAGAGTGAGTGAGAGAGCGAGCGAGTGAGTGAGCGAGTGAGCGGGTGAGTGAGGTGTTGGAGTTTTTAAACGTCGCCCGGCTCAGGTCACAGACGCCGTCGGCGCGAGCGCCGCCTCCCGTGCGGCTCTCCGGGGTCTTTCTCTTCTCCTCACCGCCACCACCACCACCACCAGAACAACCACCACCACCGCCACCACCACCACCACCACCACGCCGCCGCCAGCGCCGCTCGCCGTGCCATCTGATCATCGTCGGCGGCGGTTCCTCTTTGCCGGGGGAGTTTGGCAACGTGCCGGGGAGCGGTTGGGAGATGCCGCTTGACACGAGTTTACATCGTCAGCGTCGTCAGCGTCGTCAGCGTCGTCAGCGTCGTCGCCTTGTCGGGAGACGGAGCGGAGGGACGCGGAGTCGCGACCGCCGCCGCCCGGCTCGCCCGGCTCGCCCGGACCGTGCGGTAGCGACGCTTTGCCCCGGTCGGGAGCGAGCGCCGGTTTCGCTCACATGGGGAGTTGGGGGGGTGGCGAGGTTTTGCCGGCGCGATCGAGCGATGAACCTGGCGGGTGGTGATGCACGACAAGCAGCGGAGGGCGGAGGAGGAGGTTCCTCCTCTTCCAGACGCCGGGGCTCAGCGCGCCGGGGAGCGTCCGTGCTGCTCAAGGTGACGTCGTGCCGCTCCGCGTCGCCACGCTCCCCACGCTCCTCGCTTTCTGTGAACGTCCGGACGCGCGTGACGGTGGTGGCGCGCATGCGTGGGAGTGTGTGGGAGAGTGTGTGGGTATGTGGGAGCGTGTGTGGGTGTGTGGGAGCGTGTGTGGGTGTGTGGGAGTGTGTGTGGGTGTGTGGGAGTGTGTGGGAACGTGTGTGGAAGTGCGTGGGAGTGTGTGGGCAGCGTGTGTGGGAGCGTGTGTGGGTGTGTGGGAGCGTGTGTGGGTGTGTGGGAGCGTGTGTGGGTGTGTGGGAGTGTGTGTGGTGTGTGTGGAGTGTGTGGGAACGTGTGTGGAAGTGCGTGGGAGTGTGTGGCAGGCGTGTGTGGGAGCGTGTGTGGGTGTGTGGGAGCGTGTGTGGGTGTGTGGGAGCGTGTGTGGGTGTGTGGGAGCGTGTGTGGGTGTGGGGAGTGTGTGTGGGTGGTGTGGGAGTGTGTGGGAACGTGTGTGGAAGTGCGTGGGAGTGTGTGGCAGCGTGTGTGGGAGCGTGTGTGGGTGTGTGGGAGCGTGTGTGGGAGCGTGTGTGGGTGTGTGGGAGCGTGTGTGGGTGTGTGGGAGCGTGTGTGTGTGTGTGGGTGTGTGCGAGCGAGCGTGTGTTGGTGGCACAGCGGGGTGGCTTACACGCAGCGGGGTGCGTGCTGTGAGCGAGCGCGTGAACACCCAGCGAACATCATCCGTACGCCGTTGGGCCGCCGACGGTTCCAACCGCACCCCAACGGTCGCCGGCACGGTGACTAGCACGGTCGCCGGAGCCGTGTCGCCAACAGCCTGGAGCCCGGACGGTGCCTGGCCGGGCGACCGGCGTGAATGGCAGGCGCTATAGGCTGCTGCCACGCGGCCGCGGTCGTGTCGGCGTTCCTTGCCGGCGTCGTGCCGTGTCGTGCCGTGTCGTGCCGTGTCGTGCCGTGTCGTGTCGTGTCGTGTCGCGTCGCGTCGTGTCGTGTCGTGTCGTGTCGTGTCGTGTCGTGTCGTGTCGTGTCGTGTCGTGTCGTGTCGTGTCGTGTCGTGTCGGTCGTGCCGTGCCGTGTCGTGTCGTGTCGCGTCGCGTCGCGTCGCGTCGCGTCGCGTCGCGTCGCGCCGTGCCGTGTCGTGTCGTGTCGTGTCGCGTCCGCGTCGCGTCGCGTCGCGTCGCGTCGCGTCGCGTCGCGTCGCGTCGCGTCGCGTCGCGCGCGCCGCGCCGCGCCTCGCCGCGTCGCGTCGCGTCGCGTCGCGTCGCGTCGCGTCGCGCCGCGCCGCGCCGCGCCGCGCGCGCGCCGCGCCGTGCCGTGCCGTGCCGTGCCGTGCCGTGCCGTGCCGTGCCGTGCCGTGCCGTGCCGTGCCGCGCCGCGCCGCGCCGCGCCGCGCCGCGCCGCGCCGCGCCGCGCCGCGCCGCGTCGCGTCGCGTCGCGCCGCCCGCGCCGCCC